CAAGGACAATGCGGGATTGGATGATGTGATTGTCGAGGATATTACTGAGCAGGAAGAGCAGGAGGAAAAGAACCCGGAAGCCAGACATGGCAACAAGAATTTGCACCCTACCCCTCGGAGATCACAACCACCGCCGATGGCCTGGGGTGTGGGTCGCAAGAAGTTGTTTAGCGAGGCAGTCCGGGAAGAATCGTGGTATGTGGCGGAATCGGACAACGAGGATGGGGTGGAGGAGATGAATGAGGATGCTATGAAGGAGAATGCTGATCAGGAGGAAGACCCTCGATGCCCTACGATTTACTTCTCGCCCGAGGAATGGCGGAGCTACAGACGTGAATGGAGATCAGCACTCATGGTGAAGGTTCTTGGCCGTTCTTATCCCTATCCAATAATGGCTAAGCGACTCAATATGCTGTGGGCGAGGAATGGGACAATTCAGATAACGAACAGACCTAATGGTTTCTTTTTCGTACGGTTCACAAGTAAGATGGATTATGAGCTTGCCCTGACGGGGGGCCCTTGGCTGATTGGAGATAATTATATCACTACTCAGAAGTGGAAGAAGGGTTTTAACCCGAGAACTTGTCAGATTGACTCTACATTGGTCTGGATCAGATTACCTGACCTTCCTATTGAGCTCTACCATCCTGAAGCTGTGCTACGCATAGCCAAGCGAGCGGGTACTCCGATCCGGGTTGATCGTGCGACTGAGCTGGGAGCAAGAGGAGTATTCGCCAGGGCGTGCATTGAGGTGGACCTAACGAAACCCCTTCTATCGAAGTATAAGGTGGCAGGAGTGGAGTATGAGATCAAGTACGAGGGATTAGACAACATATGTTTCGAGTGCGGAACCTATGGACACTCCAAGTCCCAGTGCCCATTGCTACACAAACCTAAGGAAGCAAACAAGGAACCCGCTGACCCTATACATTCCCCAAGCCAAAAACATGAGGAACCGTACGGGGAATGGATGATTGCTAAGAGGAAGGAACGTAGACCTAGCAGAAAGCCCGATCTGGTCCGAAATGTAGGAAGGGACCGCAGTAGTACCTTTGACGGGCAAACAAAGGGAGGTTCCCGGTTTGAGGTACTTAGCCAGGAAGATGAAAACACGGCGGCATCGCAGCAGCAAGGAAACCCGAGCAAGAATCGAATTAACACTGACCAAGCTGCCGATCGGAGTAAGAAAGCGAATCCCTCACCTCCAGTGACCAAGATGCAACAAATTTGGGTCGAGAAGCAGCCGGTGGAGGGCGCGAGCCCTGGTGAGTCTAGAAGCGAGCAACCAAGTGGCAAAACAGGGAGTTCTCAGTTGCGCAAGGAGGTGGAAGTGTTGAAGCAATCGGGCCCGGTTACGTTAGAAGATGCAGCACGAGAAGATGCCCTCAAGGGTGGCCAGCCGCCCGAGTCAGCGCAAGGGAGGGCCACATCAGTGGCTAGTAAATCAGGTGGAGGAGGCGACAAGGGCGAAGCCATGGTTGATAAACCGGCAGCCATGCAAGCCATGCAACCTCCGTCAATTATTGAGGGTGATGCTACAATGAATGAAGCACAAGGAAACCCAGCAGAGGGCAGTGTTTTGGGGAGTAACTCTGAGGAGATGCTCCCAAGACCTACCTAAAGAGTACCTCCCTACCCTGACGATTCCATGAACCAAATGGACGTAAGAATCTTTACGTGGAATTGTAGGGGAGCAGGAAGCGATAGCTTCCTACGAGTATTTAAAGAATACAAGAGGAAATACCAACCACATATGGTAGTCATTGTTGAACCAAGAATAAGTGGAGATAGAGCAGTACAGGTGATTAACCAGTTGGGACTGGATAAAAATTTGATCGTTGATGCGACTGGTTTCTCGGGAGGCATTTGGCTTGCATGGGATGAAGCATTCATACAGGTCACTGAGAAAGAGCGTACGGGACAACTCCTACATGTGGAAGTCCAACAGGGTGCCTTTCGGTTTGCCTTCACGGCTGTTTACGGTCATCCTGCATTAATACAAAGAAGAGCCCTTTGGAACTCGATTCGTTTGCTAGCTGATGGAATGGACACGGCGTGGCTGTTAGCTGGTGACTTCAACTCATTGCTGAGCGCGTCCGAGAAATGTGGGGGAGCCCCGTTTGATGCCAGTCGGGTTCGAGAATTTCAGGACTGCCTTCTTAACTCCGAGTTGGCGGATTTGGGGTTTGTGGGACCACCTTTCACGTGGTTCCGAAGGGGTACGAAGGAGAGACTTGACCGAGGGCTGGTGAATTTGATGTGGACCACACAATTCCCGGATACGACGGTGCGCCACCTGCCGAGGGTTAAGTCGGACCATCGCCCGTTACTGATTAGTTCTGGACCAGAATTTCCTACCCTTGGACCGAAACCATTCAGATTCATAGCCTCATGGCTAACCCATAGGGGGTTTCCGGACATGCTCAAGGCGGCATGGGCAAAAGGTTCGGACCTGATAAGCTGCTCCAAATCATTTGCTAGGGACGCCAATCACTGGAACAAACACACTTTTGGGCATATTCTGAGACGCAAGGACCACCTGTTGAGGAGGATTGAGAATCTCGAAGAGCAGTGGGGAGGGGACTCGGAACTTGGAGGGTTGCCAGAGCTCCGAGCTGAGCTTGAGGAGGTACTCTTCCAGGAAGAGCTGCTGTGGCGCCAGAAGTCGGGCACAGATTGGGTTAAATGGGGAGACCAGAATACCAAATTTTTCCACACTCGCACTCTTCGCAGAAGGAAGCGGAACCGTATAGTAGCCCTCAAGAATACTAACGGAGAGTGGGTGGAGGATCAAAGCGAGCTAGCTAATATGGCAAGGTAGTACTACATGGGCCTGTTCACCGATGATAGCCCCATGAACTCGGACATGTTGAATGGGTTCCCGACATTAGAGGCGCATAACTGGGAGGAAATGGGCAGGAGTTTTACAGAGGAAGAGCTGCGGAAAGCCGTCTCGGCCATGGGGCCCCTCAAAGCCCCCGGACTGATGGACTTAACCCACTCTTCTATCAGCGATTTTGGGATGTGGTATCGAAGGAAGTCCTCGAGTTTGCTAGGAATGTTTGGGAGGAGCCCTCGACTATCAGAGAGCTGAACGAAACCCTCCTGGTGCTCATCCCCAAGATTCCTAGACCGGTCCTCATCGAGCAGTTCCGTCCGATAAGCTTGTGTAATGTGGGCTACAAGATCATCACTAAGTGCTTGGCGGAACGATTGAAGCCTTTCATGCCAGACCTTGTGCACGAGACTCAGACGAGCTTCGTGCAGGGAAGGCATATTACTGACAATATTTGTATTTTGCAGGAAGTCGTTCATTCGATGAGAGCTAAGTCTGGCCGGTCAGGGTGGATGGTGATAAAGGTGGACTTAGCCAAGGCATATGACCGCATCCGGCGGAGCTTTGTCAGGGACACACTAGTAGCTGCTGGAGTGCCGGAAAAATTCACAGAGCTGACCATGCAGTGCATCTCAACCTCTCAAATGCGGATACAATGGAATGGTGGGCTCACGGAGGAGTTCTCCCCTTCCCGAGGGCTGCGGCAGGGATGCCCGTTGTCTCCTTACATATTTACTCTATGCATGGAGAGATTAAGCCACTTAATTCATGATGCGGTGGGGAACGGAAGCTGGGAGCTGATAAGATTGTCCAGCTACGGGCCGAATTTATCTCACATGTTCTTTGCTGACGATCTCATCCTCTTTAGTGTGGCTTCTACTGCGCAGGTACAAGTGATCAACCAACTGTTCGAGACGTTTGGGAGAGCCTCGGGCCAGCAGATCAGCAGACCAAAGTCGAGAGTCTTCATGTCGAAGAATGTCTCGTCTAATCTTGCTGCCGCCCTTAGTGAAGAATTGGGGATACCGCAGACTTCTAACCTAGGCCGCTATCTTGGAGTCCCGGTAATCCACGACCGAGTTTCGAGAAATACATTCATGGAGCTTATCGATAGAATTGATGCTCGGTTGGCAGGCTGGGGAGTAGCAACCTTGTCCTTGGCGGGGCGCATTACTTTGGCTAAATCGGTGCTTGCTTCACTTCCGGCTTACACCATGCAGACCACTCTTCTTCCATCAAGCGTTCGTGAGTATATAGACAGGAAGATCCGGGGGTTTGTATGGGGGAGCTCTGCAGCAGGGAGGAAGGTGCACCTGTTAGACTGGGATACGCTGTGCCGCCCTAAAGAAGAAGGAGGCCTTGGAATGCGGGATGCGACGACGTTGAATGAGGCTTTTATGATGAAGATTGCCTGGCGCTTGATGAAAGAACCGGATAGCCTCTGGGCTCGGGTTATCAGAAGCAAGTATTTGAGACTGGTGGGTGGCTCGTGGTTTCCCAGGACAACAGGACGGCTCTCGAATCTTTGGAGGGGGGTTCTGCGAGTCCTCCATAGGATACCTGAGGCGACGGTTTGGAATGTGGTGAATGGACGATTGGTCAGGTTCTGGCAAGACCGTTGGTTGAGTGACGGCCCAGTCTTGGCGGAGATGGCGGTTGGACTCCCACAGGAAGCTCATTCCATTTTAGTAGAAGAGATGGTGCTGAATGGGGAATGGAATAGAGCTTACATCCAAGCTTTCCTCCCGAACGAGCTAGTTGAACAGATTATGCTTCATGATGTCCCAAGAGATTCAGGGAGTGATGTGCCGACTGGAGATATACGGCGAATGGAGAATTCTCCCTAAAGTCGGCATACGAGCTGCTAAATGAGGCGAGCCAACCTTCTCAGTCCCACCCGCTTTGGAAGAAAATATGGAAAATCCCGGCTATGCAGAGGGTAAGATCGTTCTTCTGGCTGGTTGGTCATGGTCGCCTTCTGACTAACATGGAAAGACAGCAATGCCACATGACGGAGGCAGGTGGTTGCCAAATTTGCGGAGGAGACGGTGAATCTGTGATGCACGTCCTGCGGGACTGCCCTTATGCGAGGGCTGTCTGGGCTACTTTCCTTGAGAATGAGGAGGATGAGAAGTTCTTCTCACCGGACATGACGAGCTGGCTAATGTATTATCTATCGGGTAAAGGTGTTAATTTGGATCCCTCGTTGTTCGCGGTGGTGTGTTGGTTGCTTTGGAAGAATAGAAACACATTTGTTTTTGAGGAGAAGCTGGCTGCCGATGGCCAAATTCAGGTGGCGGCTCGGAGAATTCAGCAGCTGATTGCTGAGGCCTTGAAGAGGGACCCGTCGATCCGAGGGGAGCAGCTGTCTGGTGAATGGAGGTCGGTCGGATGGGAGTTCCCCCCGGCCGGGTGGAGCTGTATCAACACGGATGGATCGGTGGCGCTAGCATCCCAAAGCGCGACGGCGGGAGGCGTGGTGAGAGATGATCATGGGAGATTCCTGGGTGCCTTTGTGATGAATCTCGGTGGAGGCACGATTACTCGTGCGGAGCTTATGGGCATACGACAGGGATTGCAGGTGGCTTGGGACCTTGGAGTAAGAAAGGCGGTTCTTCGGTCGGATTCCAAGAGCGCGGTCGAGCTGATCGCGTCAGCTACTACATCTAGCCCGCACTTTCAGCTGGTATCACAGGTAAGGCGTCTGATCAACCAAGAGTGGGAAGTTCGGGTGGAGCACACGTACAGGGAGGGAAATGTGGTGGCGGACTACTTGGCATCGACAGGGTACAACCTCCTGGTGGGGGTGCACATTGTCTCGGTTCCCAGTCCGATGATGCAACACTGGCTTTTGTTTGATCTTGTAGGGAGTGTTACTCCTAGATTGATTTATCAGTGAGTGAGGGGCGCCTGTGCCCCGAACATTACCAAAAAAAAAAAATTTGTTTGATTCAATAAGAAGTCTGGGTAAACACTTGAAGACAACCCTTTGTGATAGTGGTTTGTAATATTTCTCTCCCTGCAAATCTACATATATTATAATACACCGAAGGAAAAAACGGGAGCCCCATTTCAAATTTCTTGCAACGAGAATGAAAGTAGGAAGGACATTTTGGTCTTCACAATTACTTTTTTTATTCATTAAAAAGTACATGTACTAAGATTCGAACCATGATCATTTTAAAGAAAAACAAGGTTTGCCATTCTAAAAGTGTTTGTAGGAAGGATAGAATAGGGAGTGTCAATTTTTTTCTCTTTCCTCTGTGGAACTGGCCAACTTATCGTACACATGCGGATTTAAACTGGTCCAGAAGTGTCAATTTTTTTCTTTAAGCTCTTTTATTTCTCCATGGTGATAAAATATATATGAAAAGGCAAAAAAAATACTCCTTTTTATTGCTAAAAATAAAAAATTTAACAATAAACTAATGCATGGTATCTCATGGGTTAACCGCTAACCATAAAATAAAAGAGTTGAATGGGCCTGACCTACACGGGATTTGGCCATCAAGTAAAAGAAATGAACATCATTGGTTTGCCATTCTAAAAGCGTTTGTAGGAAGGGTGAATAGAGAGTGTCAATTTTTTTTCACTTTCCTCTATGGAACGGGCCAACTTACTGTACACATGCGGATTTAAACGGGTCCAGGAGTGCCAATTTTTTCTTTAAGCTCTTTTATTTCTTCGTGGTGATAAAATATATATATATATGAAAAGGCAAAAACAATACTCCTTCTTATTTCTAAAAATAAAAAAATTTACGCATGGTATCTAATGGGCTAACCGCTAACCATAAAATAAAAGAGTTGAATGGGCCTGACCTACACGGGATTTGGCCATCAAGTAAAACAAATGAACATCATTGGGTTTCCATTCTAAAACAAGCTATTTTCTTTGGCATAAAATATATTATGCTATTATTTTATATCTTAGTGGCTAAAATATAATGTATTTTAAAGTTATTCAATGGTTCAACCTCAAGCTGAGAGAGGTCACCTGGATATGGTTATCCCTAGACTGTAGTTAAGCCAGATTGTAATGTACCAAGTTCGAATTCAAAGATAGTTATACTGCGGAAGGTTCTTAAATAGTCTGCAGTCTCGACTAAAGGTCTCCAGACCCTCTCAATCTGAGTCCCCAACGGGCGACTAACCTCCACCGGAGTAAACAGATTGAGGCCCTAACGAACCAAACCTCCTCTACCGAAGTAAATCCGGTACAGAATAGTGAATTGACTCCTCGACTAAAATCGTCAATTCACTACCTTCAATCAAGGGTGCTCTATCAACCTAGGCAGATATTCTTTTTCTAGGTCAAAGCAGAAATAACAGGAATTTGATCAGGATTCATGCCATTCAACAAATCAGACCTCAATTGAATATAATCAAATCAATGGATTCATACAATCAGACCTAACATATAAATCTAGGGTTCTTCGTACCCAGGTGAATGTGGAAGTTACTCCATGGAGAGAGAAGCAAACTCTAGCTTAGAAGCAGAAAACATGCTGTGAAGAATGAGGTTCTGCTTCTGGTCGTCAATCGGCACTTCTCCAAGCGTTATCCGGGCTCCACTGATGATGAAGATCGATCTAAGGCACTTGGTAACTCTGGTTCGTCGCTTTCTCTCTCTAGGTATCACTTTCTTTCTCTAAAACTCGGAACCCTTGCAAAATTGGCCTTCTTTCCCTTAAAAACCAGCTGCTCACGATCCCCGGCCATAATCCTCGGTCGGGTATTTCAGGTGCCCGACCGGGGATTTCGAAACGCAACGCATAGGTACAGTGAATAATACCCGATCGAGGTCAAGAATACCCGATCGGGTATTTTCGCTCTCTGGCCGGGACCCCTTCTGCCTTCTGGGCGTCCAAAACTGCTTTTCCTCGGCCTCCTCAGAATTTTACCCGGCCGGGTATTTTCTCCTCCAGCACCCTTAAACTCAAACGTCCTCCTTTTGACCCGAAACTCATTTCTTCGCCTCAACGTCAATGCCAAGCCCTCAAATATGACATAAACACACAACCTAGCGTGAAATTGGCTGAAAACACGAGAATCTCTTCTCCAACGGCTCAAGAATAGGGGTATAAACATGTATAATTATTGGTCTATCAAATTCCCCCACACTTAACCGTTTGCTTGTCCCCAAGCAAACCTAACACAAACCAATGTTGCTCTCCAGAACTCTATAGCAACAAACAACCCCGATCATCGGTAGAGGATTTCCTAGATCATATAGAATTTTATGAGGTCAACTGGTCTTCTATGAAGTCCACTATCTCTCTCAATGCGAGTACTAGACTCAAGCCAGGATCATGAGAAGAAGTAGAAGTAAGACAGCCAGTTCATGGATAAAGGGACTCACACCATTCACAACCAAGGACTCATTGTACTGGGGTGCTCATTCACTTCATTTCACCGTTGGAACCCCTTTTTCATTTTTATTTCACTTTTTTTTCATTCACTTGGCGGGGGTTCCAACTGCAGTCTTTTGCACGGTCGACCCTTATTAGTCGAGCAAGAGCAATTTCTGTACATCTGGCGCTCGCCAGAGTACTTATTTTAACTCCTTTTCCTCAACTCGTGTGGAGGGTCAATGAAATTAAGGGGGGTCGGAAGCTCTATCCGTGCCCTTAAAAATACATCCTCGAGTAGGCAAACCGTTCAACGGGTGAAAGTTTTACTTGTACTAGAGACAGCTTAGCTTCACCTTGTAGGAGTACCCCACTAAGGATCACTAAAATCTATTCCAAAACCCAATTTTGTGCAATGAATGGTGCTACACACGTTGGGTTTACCCCATGTTTAAGATTTCAATGATTTTGACATGGAGGACCAACTGCTTTTCATTTCCCACATGAGCACCTGTTCGATACACGAGTCCATAACACAATTCAAACGGAGTCAACATTACCACATGAATTCAACAGTCTTAGCTCCACTAATTCACAAAATCAACCGGCACAGCAGAGAGCTAGATAGGAAAATCTTATACTTCAACATCCTCCATAGTGCTACACTACCTCCCTAGGTGGCACATTACTATAGAGACTGTCAATTCAAAGCATACTGAGCAGGCAATTTGCAAGGAACACGTACTTGGAGCCATCAAATCAAAATTTGGACAGTGAACTAGGCTCCAAGCACACGAACAGATCTAAGCAGTCAAAATAGAAACATCCCCTCCACATTGCCCTCAATGGAGAAGAGGGAAGGATAAGGAGAACGATGTTACCAGTGTGCACGGACTGCATGAGACTGGAGGGGACCAGTCGGTGCAAAGGCACAGCTAAAGGGAACACAAAAACTCAACCACAATACGTTAGGTCCAGTTGTAAGGCCAATAGTACATCATCCAAAAGAAAAAGAAAACAAACCATGGTGGGGTTGCCTCCCCACAAGCGCTTATTTACAGTCTTTTAGCTGGACGCCCATGGTGGATGCTCAATGGGGTGCAGGAACAGGTGCCTCCAAGAGCGGATCCACATCGCTCTTGAGGTACAGCTTCAGATGGTGGCTATGCACCCGACGAGTGTGACCACCAGCATTTGTCAGCTCGACCTGGCCATCCAGCAGGATGCAAGCGAGTGAGTACTCGGATGGCCAGGGTGGTCGTGGTTCAGGAGGTGGGACCAGCTCATAGTGGTCGCCACCTTTCTTCCGAGCAGGCTTAACCACCTGCGGCTTAGGCCGCCACTCCTCCTTGATCTTTTTGTTTGGTACTGAGCTCGAAGGGAGTGGCGGTGAAGGAGTGAGAAGGGGATCCTGCAAAATGAGAGGCACAGACGGATGCACGACAGGCTTGTGCACCCGGTGAGAAATAGCATGCACAGGCGAGGCAACATGCACATTATTATTATAGATAGAGAAAGTTATCTGCTCCTTGCCATCTCTTAAGACCAAAGTCCCATCACGGACACTATGAGGGCCCTGGCGGTGGCCAGGAAGGGCCTTCATAGGATAAGTGGCACTTCTGTGTCTTCATTGATGTCTAAGACAACAAAATCCACAGGATAACAAAACTTGCAAACCTTAACCAGGAGGTCTTCCGCTATACCCCTAGGATGAACCACATATTGATCAGCTAATTGAATAGTCATTCTAGTTGCGCTGGGTTCACCTAGGCCTAGTTTTTTGAACAATTCGTATGGGATAACATTGATACTAGCACCTAGATCCGCCAGGGACCTCTCTACATGTAATTTGCCAATGGAGCAAGGGATAGTGAAATTACCTGGGTCCTTCTGCTTTTCTGGAAGCTTGCTCTGCAGAATGGCCGAACACTCCTCGCTCAGCATAACTGTCGAGAGATCCCCAAGTCATTTTTTGTTGGTAAGGAGATCCTTCATGAATTTTGCGTACTTGGGCATCTTCGACAGTGCCTCCACGAACGGCAGGCTGATGTTGACATGCTTCAGCATTGCCATGAATTTGGCAAACTCAGTCTCCAGCTTATCTTTGTGTAGTCGAGTGGGGAAGGGAAGTTGGGGAACATGCTCCTTAACCACTGCTGTGGCTTGGGAGCAGGTGCTTCCTTCTCCATCCTCACTTCTGCATTATCAGCTAGAAGTGCTGAAGCAGGTAATGGCTCCTCCTGCCTGGCCGGAGCAGGTACAGCCGATGTTGGCTTGCCACTCCTGGTAGTGATGGCATTCAACTGCTGGTGAGGCTCCCACGGATTGGGGACGGTGGTGGCAGGAAGAGTTTCCGGTGCCCTGGTATTATTCTGATGAGCTATTCCTCCAATCTGATTCTGGAGGTCCTGCAATATGGCACTTTGGTGAGGATTCATGCCATTCAACAAATCAGACCTCAATTGAATATAATCAAATCAATGGATTCATACTTGGGTTCATACAATCAGACCTAATATACAAATCTAGGGTTCTTCATACCCAGGTGA